GTGTATGAGTGGAAGCTGTGGAGGCTCGAAGCAGAGATGCAACCGCTCGAGGCTCCACTTCTCCCCAGACTTTGGCATCAAGGCGGGTTCACGCCAGCGACTGGAGCTTGCCGCTTCTCCCAAACATCCCAGCACCGCGTCGCTCTTCACAATGCGACTCAGTGGTCCACACGCACGACCGAGGTGTACAAGGCATGTAGGAGTCAGGAAGCCAAGGGCTGAAGTAAAGAGGTCCAAGTCAGTAAGCACTCTGAGCAGTGCTGGCGAAGTCCTGTTTGCCACGGAGTCCTGCATGGTTGCGGAAGAAGCTGCACAGCTTGAGCCCGCTACACTGCACAAGTCGGACGAACATGAGTGAGCATCGTGCGGACCTCACGGGCATAGGACCTGCCCGAAGCTAAACCTCAAACAGATCTGCTCCGTACAGCCAGTCCTGTCGGTACAAACTCTGCTACGTGTTTGCATTTACCAGCTCTGCTTCCTTGAATTCTATACTGTGCTTCTGCTCTTGCCACCTTCGAAGACCAGGCGCTGCTCCCTTTCAGGCAGGGCATCAGCCAACGCCGGCCGAAGCTCTGCAACCTGAAAGTTTACTCAGCTGGCAGGAAACGTCCACAGCTTCAGTTGAGAACATGCAAGACTGGTGGGAGAGCGTGTTGCGTCCAAGCGTCGCTCCAGTTTCTTGGTGCCTGAAGCTCGGCGACGTTCTCGCCACTGAGGCGCCGAACGCGAAGCAGCACATGGCCATCAACAGATGTATCCTGCGCCATGGAAGGCACTTCGCCAAACGGAGCCGGATTCTCTCAAACGTTGCTGGGCTTGTTTGGTCTGTGGTAAGATAAGAACAGCATGCGTGCTGGTACATGCTGATCGTTGCGAGCCAGAAGGCTGCCTGCAGGGTTGTAAGCCTTAAAACTTCTCTGCCCTGCACTGGGAGGTAAAAGCCCAAACACCTCACCACAAGTTGATTTGGTACAATCTTGGGGCGCGCCATGTGTGGTCGAAAACTGCACTTCCGAGGCATGGAGGCTTCGCATGGAGGCTTCGCATGGAGGCTTCAGTTGTTTGGTTTGTGGCCTGACATTTCTCGAGACCAGAAAAACTGTCACAGGCAAGCAACTGTAGCCTCCAGCGCTGAAATGGGTATCCATTCCGCGACGTCGCGTCGCCCAGGAGTTCACGTGCTCTAACGCAGGTGAGTGGCTTTAGATAAGTGAATCAGAGGTTTTGAGATTACTCGGCGAAAATCACTTGCGTGGCACTTGAAGCGGCTCCGTGCTGAATTCAACTGCACATTTGTCGGAAGGCGCTATACCTGTGGCCCTTGCACGTGCATGTCTTCGCAAAGACAAGCTAATTTCGCTCTACCTTCAGCCATTCAGGACACCAACTCCCTTTAGGAAGTCGCCCAGAAGCCCAATGCAGTGAGCAAAATTCACCGGCGAAACCTGGAAGCACTCTTGATTCAGAAGGGCTTTCTTCTGAGGCAAGTTCAGATCTGTTCCCTCTTGATCTTTCTTAAAACAAGGAAATGTAAACGGAACAGACCGGTTCTGCCTCTCTGGCTGGGTCCTCTGATCTCTTCTACTTAGTTCACAGCAGGCAGCACATTCCGAGTTCAGCCAGCTTTTGCCAGCTGTTGTCATGATGAGCAAGTACGTGGCTGTGAACGGACTCAAAGGATGTTTGATCAATGGGAGGTCGTCGCTTCTTGCGTCATCTTTTTGCTTGAAGTTAGTATCATGCTTGGGACAAAGTTCGAAGTGTTGAAGGAAGCAAGTTGAATCCTTGGCCAGACATGTTTCAAGAAGAACTCGATGGCCTTGGCTTTGGCTCCTTCCACGCTTGTCTTTTTGCCTGCTTCTATTAATTCTGTCCTTCCTGTTTGGTCTCACTGTACATTTCCTTTCACCAAACAAAGCTTCACGGTGTCAGTGCCTCAGAAGCAGGAGGCAGCATCAGCTAGCAACGCCGTGTGTTGACTTCGCCAGGATGCAGAGCATGGTCTTGCATGGGACCATCGCGCAGGACTGAGGCGTCAAGGTTGAAACTTGGGCTTTGCATCCAAAGCGTCGCACAACAGGTATCCATGACAGAAATGAAAGGAGCCCAAAACGGTCCCTAGGCACAGTGCCTGCCCGGCTGGCATCAGCATGTATGCCAGAATTGGAACCCAGCCAAATTACACAACTCGACTATGCAGACTGAAGGCTGCGCGTGATACGCTCTTGCAAAACGGCAAGAGGAAAAGCTGGAGTCAGAAGCAGCTCGCATTTAGCAGAGCGCATGTGTTCCAGGATTCCCACTTGGTTGCTCGTCTTACCATGATTGCTTCTTACCAGTATCATCCGTACGAGCATGTTTCGGCTGAAGCCTACTATGTTGCTATATCACACATTGTAATCCCATTCCAGTTGAAGCAATGCGAAGGCTAGCAGGAGCAAAGGAGCTACCCATGCAAAAGAAGCGGCGAGAGCAGGAACTCCCACAGGACTAAACCATCCCAAAGAAGCAGTATCCACTAGGCAGCCAAAATCTAAGAAGCTGAATAAAGAAACCGGTTTCATGCTGAAAAATTGCAACAAATCAGGAGAAATCCTTCGTATTCCAACATCCCAGGTGTACGCTGTGAACCCAAAATCTCGGCTGTGACCAGTACAGTCAAGAAGCTCTCCAGTTGAAGAAGAAGTGACCCTCGCCAGGGAAAATGACCAGTTTACAGTCACTGCCTGTGGTCTCCATCCTTGAATGGCACGTTTCAATGATCCGAGTCTTGAAAACAACATCCCGCCAATCGCCCTAATCACCCTTCCCTTGGGAAAACTATGCGGTCCCCGCGGTAGGTAGGACCCATACAAAAGCCCCTTATGTCTATCTACAGGATCCCCGCCGGTAGCACCTTTTGAGGAATCTGCCTACAGGAACATAAGCCAAGTCAAGCAGCCCCCGCTGGAAGCCCTCAACTTCCTCGATTGGCACGAGGTGGTCGGCAGTCCTCGCCACTGCTTCGAACTCAGCATTCCCAGGCCTCATCCTATCTTCTTTATAAAATCGAATTTCAGTCCCGTGAAGAATCAGAGTGGGCTGCGACAGCTGACCTCAACAAGTTGCAAGGCACATCAAGAGGCCACATGTAGCAGGCGCATGAAACCCTTGACAGAGCTCAGAGCGCACTCGATGAATTGGCGACCCAGCACGCAGCTGCTGTTGTCCATAGCGCCATCGCAGTGCCCAACTGCCCAGCCAGGTTGCTAGCCGGCGGTCGCTATAGCGCTGGGTGAACTCCAAATCCAGCACAGGGTTGAAAAGCACAAGCCTCAACTTTTGCGGCAAAGGCTAGGCTAGGCCAGACGCAAAAGTGCTATCAAAAAGGCAGCTCTGATGTGTTTACGGCCCGATCTCATCTGCCATGATACCCTGCCAGACCCAGGTTCTCACGAAGTGCTGCCATGGCAGCTGTGTGACCTCCACTCGAGGCACCTGTGCCACTTCAACCTATACTCCAAGAACAGCCTGCATCAACACAGCTCAAAAAGAGCAACATCATAAGCGGAAGAAGACTGGTGCTTGGCAACCGTCTGCCCTACATGCTTACAGCACGATTGTAATTGAACAGATCGAGCACAACACGGATTTGAACAAAAAAATCTGGACCACACCCAAAGTTCACAGGCCGAATCTGACGCATCTGCTCCACTACAGCAAAGCTGACATGAGCATCATCTCAACAGGGGTTTCACAGTTTATTCAAGTTGAAAGCAGCCGACCTGATGACCCACAGCGCATGGACTTCTCAATGAGGCAAAGTTATCAAGTAGAAACCTCTCAAAAAGCTCCCGCCTGCCAAAACGATCTTGTCGCGGTCAATCCCCATTTCATCCGCATTATCTTGCAAGTAGCGCACACAGCGCTGTGCATCGTCGATGCTGTCAAAAGGCACCTTTCCGCATGAAGGCTTTGTCTCGAAAGAAGAAAAGCCCGGAGCCTGGCAGCAGCCTGGCCTTGGAGAAAGGATGGGTCAGAAAGCAGCTGACCTCACAGCATGCCGTGGAGACGCCGTAGCGGCGGGAGACCTCCTCAGACGTTCGTCATCAGTCAGAAGCAGCACAGAATGCACTGAATTTGCCCGAGGTCCTTGGCATAAGGGTAGAATTGCGACGGAGCTCCACCCAAAAAGCCACCTGGCGCTGCAACCAAGCCATCATAAATATGGAAGCACATGTCCTTATAGGGCACCTCCGTGCAAGAACACCACACAACCACTCTTGGAAGGTTGGTCCCGTTGTGGCAGAAAGTGTAGCGAGAGGCCGTTGTGCTCTGAATAGCTGTGGACCTGCCACTCACCAATAGGTACAAGACAGCATTGCGTGTGAAAGCAGGTCCCGTTCGGCAATCCATGTTGACAGCATCTTGCCAGAGCAACCGCTTGCAAACTCCACCATACACATGCAATGACATCACTACAACCATTGCTCTAACCAGCTGGATATTTCAAGCCAATCACCACCTGATCGCTCAGAGAACATGCTACTTGGCAAGAAGCCTCGCCGCCGAGGATCGACACGAAGCGCTTCTCAATGTACTTCCTGCGAGGATTCAAGCAATGGCAGCATACCTTAGTGCTGACAAGGGCTGCCCCCCTGCCCCGCCTGGCCTTCCCCGCCCCTATTAATGGCAACTGGCCTGAGGAAAGCACCAGCCACGACTCCTGGAAGCTTGTCCAACCAGGGATCTCCCAAAGCTCCACTGGGGGCATCCATTGCCGACTGCAACAAGTGCTGGGCAAGCCACTCCTGTTGAAGCATGAAGTCTGCTAGCTTGTCCTGTTGAATTCTTTACAAGAACGCAAGAAGGTCATTGTCAGGCCGCCCCATGACATCACGTGCGCAAATATGGCATCTGGGCGAACGCCCTATGAGCCATTTGGAGAGCGAGCAATGATGCAAGCAATCCATGCTACAAACATAACATGCACCTCCAAAATGCAGCAGGGCGAGCACCCCAGAAGCGGCAGAAGGCATCTTGAGGCGATTCAGCCTGTGCTTCAAGCAACACATGTTCATTCCTAGGTAGTCATCAAGAGCAGAGTGGGAAACGGGATGTGACAGTCTTACCTCGCTTAACTTCACATGTTTTCCTTGAGTGCTGCATGTTGCACCGCACATTGCAATCTGCCCATTTCTGGATTCAGAACTAAGATGATATGCAAACAAGGTAAATCCTATGCCACCGCTGGATGGCTTGGATGCTTGAGCGACGCAAATTCTGGCCTGTCGCGTGTACTCAGGATAGCCAACTTGTAGCAGGTACTGCCAGGAAAGCAGCGCCAATCATAAGTGGGGGGGTGCTGATTGTTGCTTCGCGGAGGAGCACTACCAAAAGCTCCATATAGGGGATTGCTGGCTGGTGACTGTTGCCCAGGCGAAAGCACCGGACAGCACGGCTCCACCCGCAAATTGAGCTCAAGCTTGCTGCTGCTGCTCTGTTTTTTAGGCTGTGGCCAGAAACAAGTGTGCTGCGTAATGGCAAACTCATGCAGTGCACATCTGAAAGGTATGACTTGTGGACACATGACACGAGGAAAACAATCCTCACCTGAAACTGGACCATACGCCCTCAGACTGCGACCCACCATGCTTTGCAGGATTGGCGTTGCCGTCGGTGTCCCTAGCACAAGTAACAGCGCAAGAACAAGGATCTAACAAACATGCATTTAGTCACAAGTTCCGGTTACTCTGCACAAGCTGAGCACCCGCGCTGCTTCCAATAATCAAGCAGTTCCTGGCAAGTTAGCTAATGTGCTGACCGGACTTTGTGCCAAATAATGCAGCAGAACCACTTGCCTCCTGCAAGCCGAACATCCCCATGATCTGAATGCAGGCTCACCACAGTTGCGATGAAGCTTGTCCGCTTCGGAACTCCTACAGCCTTGACTGGTGCTGTGCATTCACAACGGTCATGCGGTTGTGGTGCTGTTTGAAACCGTTCTCCTTGCCATGCTAATAGCCACGGTGGCGACGAGCTCACAATTTCGGTGCATGCAACAGAGTGGAATGCTGACTCCGGCATGGAAGAGCCGAGAGCAACAAAAATTGCGCAGCAACACAAATTGCGCAGCGGCTTTCTAAAGCAGTTTCAACGCTGGTCACATTAGAATTGTGCCTGTGAAACGTCAGCTGCGCGTGAAGGTTTTCATCCACGTCCTTGACCTTTGCTTCAAACCGTTTCGAGTTGACTGCGGAGGGGGGCATGGTGTCGGTGGTCTTCGTCTGGCTGCGGATCCTATCTCGACCCAGCTTGAAGCGGACAGACTGGTCACTAGTCATCCTTCCACCCCGTGAGGCGCTGGTGCTCGTATAACGAATCTCTGAAGCGAGCGGCATACCCATTTTCTTCTATCACCATCTCTTCTCGCAAGTCAATGTCTTGTTTGATCTCTTTGGAGGTGCGGCCCGACTTGGTGAACACTTTTTGGTGCCAACAAACTTTTACACAAGAACCTTCCAATTTGTAAGTCCCAAACAACGTAATGCCATCATACTTGAACACAGCGTTCTGAGTGTCGTTGGTGAAGAAGCACAGCTCATCGGTTTTCGCACTGGCATGATACAGTCCCATGGGCATCTCAGCGCGAACCAGCTCCGCCTCCATGACTCAACGCAACACCAGCAGCTTTTCCGTTGGCTCTGGGATTGATTCTGTCCTGGTTACGCATACGCGAATGCGTGAAATACAGCTTGCATGCTTCGAAACTATTCAGGCCCTGTGTACCCGATGTGGAACCATAATTTTCGAAACAACTTTGCTCAGTTGATAATCTTGTTGCTCATGAAATTGAAAGAACCTTGCAAGTCCTCAGCCAGAACGCAAGATGTCATTACTCCTTTTGCAATGTTCAACAAGCACAAAACCCAGAGCCACATAGCACATTCATGGTCCGTGCATACTTTTCGTGAACAGTGTGGTTCAAGTTTAGTATTTCCTACGCTTGGCTCCAGAAGCTAACAGCAGCGGACAGTTAGACTCTTTTGGCACGAGGCGCTCGAAATATGCAAAGCAGTGCAAGATGGAAGGATCTATGCCGCTGCCACCAATATGCGCTGAATTTGGCGCCAAAGTGGTAGACAGTGTAGTGGTAGAGCTGTGCTTCTACGCGGAAGAGAAGGCATCCCTGTTCTGTGCGGTGCACTTTCACGCATTTATGCGCTGCTTTGAAGTCCAGTGACATGCCTACAAAGTTGCCGTGGCAGTCT